ACACCCAAGTGCAACTCAAAGGTTTACAAAGGACACTGTAATAAAACAAAAATAAAACAAGGCCTCAGAAAGATTTCCTTTGGAGACGGAAATACAAACAAAGATGATCTTTGCTGAATGCAGGTTTCTGAAGCACTGCGGATGCCGAAAAGTCATTCTGAAAGTGAAGCAATATCTATGTAACCACAACAAGGAGGTTTTAATACTCCAGCTAGAAAACAGTTGCTTTAGAAGCAACGCGTTTCTGAATGACTTTTCTAAAAGGTTTACATGAATAGAAACTGATTTCTGTTTTCAATAGGTAAGAAAGGTCACTAATAGAAATCACTTCCCTTCCACTATATAAATACTGAACACACGTTTTATGACCTTATTAATATGGTTAGACCACAACTTTAGAGTATTATTGTAAACATCTGTGCATAATATAGTGGCATAAAACTGAGGAATTTTGCAATAAAAACATTATCTCAAATAGTAGGTAGTGTGTGTGTGTGTGTGTGTGTGTGTGTGTGTGTGTGTGTGTATTTGACTATACATCAGACAGTGATACACATGAATACCTTTTTACTACTGTTATAATATCACAACATTGTGCCTGGAAGATACACTGAATTTTCCAAAATGTAATGATGGAGTAAATATCCCCAAGCTGCTAGAACTTCAAAAAATTCTAATTCTTCATATGAGAAGACATATCTATAGGTCAATGTTTTCCAAAATGTAGGTCACTTGTTTTTAGGTCATAAAATCATTTGGTGGGTCATGAAAATTTTAATGAAAAAAAGGACAAAAACATCAAAATTGTAAGAGTGCATCTAGGGGCTCAGTTGGCTAAGCATCTGACTCTTGATTTCAGCTCAGATCATATTTCACAGATCGTAGGATCCCAGAACCTCCTTGAGATTCTCTCTCTCTCTCTCTCTCTCTTTCTGTCTGCCCCTCCCGAACACATGTGCACACATGTGCTGTCTCTCAATAAATAAACTAAAAAAAAAAAAAAAAAGAGTGCATCTAAAGTAGCAAAGTAAGTTTTATTTCGTGAAACTCTGTTTCAGTAGGAATTGAATATAAAATGTTTTCTTACTGTGTTCTTAACACAATCATTTAAATCTGGAAGATGTTATGCCGACTGAGAGAAGCCAGACACAGAAAGGCAAATATTGTATGATCTCACTTTTATGAGGAATCTAAAGGAGTAGAAGTCAATAGAACCAGAGAGTAGAATGGTAGTTGCCAGTAGCTGGAGGGTAGGGAAAATGGAAAGATGTTAGTCAAAAGATACAAACTTTCAGTTATGAGATGGAAAAGTTCCAGGGAATCTAATATGCAGCAGGTGATTACAGTTAATACTATACTGTAACTTGAAATGTGCTAAAAGAATAGATCATAAGTATTCTCACCATGCATGTGAACATGCACGCGCATGCACACACACACACGCATGCACACACACACAAAGTGTGAGGTGACAGATATGTCAATTAATTTGATTGTTGTAATTATTTCACAGTGTATATTGTGTTGTAATTATTTCACAATGTATTTTACCACACACCTTAAAAATCACACTGCACAACCTGGACAATGTATAAACATATACAATTTAACTTTGTGGATCCTATCTCAAAAAAGTTTGAAAAACAATTTTTAAAAACTCCATATCATTTAAAAACACAGTTCTAGGTCTACTTTCTCCAGGTTTCTGACATGAAAGTTAAAACAAATGGGAGGCTCAGGTGAACATACGTCATCCATCTGATCCTTTTTGCACTCCCCCCCTTTCATTACTTACTCTTAGTTAAAGGAAATGGATAAATCTGTATTTACCACTCACTGATTAGGGTTCTAAATAGAAATAAATATAGTGGAATGTTTTATAAAAATTGATGATGTTGCAATTTGGAAAACATTTTCACAGAAAGATAACCCACTCTGCAAAGTAAAGGTAACTCGGAGTTTAAGTGAATTTTACAAGTTGAACCCATTGTCAAAACTGAGACCTGAAATTACTCATAAAATTGAGGGAAAAATACAAGGAATGGGTGAAAAATATGTTGAATATTCTCTAACTTATAGGATTAGTTTGAATTCATCACCAAAGAACAATGTTGTCCAAGATAGAATTAAAAGGCTTTTGAACAATTTGAACTACTTTCATTTTGGGCCAGAGAACTTATTAACTAAAAACAAAACCACGTTACAAGTTTCTATTAACAAACAGCACTTGAATGTCTCTATAATGACTTCTCAATGTACTATGCTAGAAGTGTTGTGTGTGCGTGTGTGTGCATGTGTGTGCACACAGTAATGTTACCAGTGACTGCTTTCCGCTTGTAAATTATCCATATCTTCTACATTTTTACAACCAAGCTATTTTTAAGTTTATTTATTTATTTTGATAGGGGGGGAGAACATGAGCAAGTGGGGGGGAGTGACAGAGAATCCCAAGTAATCTCCACACTATCAAAGCAGAGCTAGACACAGGGATCGATTTCATGAACCATGAGAAAGATCTTAACCTGAGCCAAAACCAAGAGTCAGACACTTAACTGACTGAGCCACTCAGGCACCTCTACAACCAAGCTCTTATAATAAAGTAAAAAAAGACTGACATTCATCAGTGTTCATACTGCTGATAAGAATAGGGTATATATAATATAGACTATTTCCCTTTGTTAAAGCAAACAGTAGTGCCCTGGGATTAATTTATCTTTCTAAATTATTTTCTCATTGTTGCTACTTGCACTAAGTTACTCATACATTTAACTGAGTTTGATAAAATGCTTTAAATACAGTTGAAAATTGCGTTCTGTGAACTCCATATGTATTTGTAGGATAGATGAATGTAGTCATATACTGAATCTCTTCTTTCTTTCCTTTAATTTTTAATAAATAGTTTAAATGAGGATAGACATAACTTTTAAAAAATGTATGTGCATCTATATTTACTTACTAATCTTTCTAAAGCTTGAGCAGTAATAACTGATGTGATCTTGATTTCCACTTTGTGTAGAGGAAACAAATATTTGAAACAGTAAGTTATTTCCTTGGAATACATAAAAGCAAGGTTATAGAAATGTTTAAATTTCCCATCAGTTTCTCTTATTTTGCACAGATTCTTCACTAAATTAGCAAAAATTCTGAAGTCCAATGTAATAATATTTAAGCAAATCTATTAAGGTAAATTAGTGGTTGCATATTGGATACCTTTCTTATTTTTTCCTTTTATTTTTTCATAAATACAGTTTAAATTAGATGAAAGTACCTGAGAGTCCTAAATTAGATCAGATTAAATTAGGAAACGTTTACTGATCTATATATTTAAGATCCTATCATTTCTATTATAATGGTTCATGTCACATGGAAAACCACCAGGAATTTGGGTTTGTTCAGAGAATGCTAAAGGGAGGACTTCATCCTTATATTTTTATGTATTTAGTCATTAGAAACAAATCATTAATCATAATAAAATCTAATGGGGAGTTTTCCCAGTACGGTAGATATTTCTATGTGTATGTGTTTTATGTGCTATTCTGGAATCTCTAGATATTTTGTATTTGCTCTAAATCTCCCCAGGTAAGTCTATACTGGGAAGTAGTGATAAAATATGGCTGATCAATCATTCAGACACTGAACATTCAGCGGAAAGCAAAACTAACATAGTGAAAACAGAAAAAGTAAACATTCAGGCATTCCACAATAGCTTTTGATTCCAATAATGTGTTACATCTCTGACATAATGGTCCCTATATCTTCTTTGAATCCTTCTCAGTAACAGTCTATCCACCGTGCCCTACAGAAACACAAAGCGTATTTTATGAAAAGACGCATACCTTTCAGCAGGAGATACTCTGTTAGTGAACACTGGTTCAAAGGGCCACAGTGTTAACTCCACAAACATTCCCAGAGAACCTCTAATGTAACAGGTGCTGGTCTACAGGTTAGAATAGAAGAGACCTTGCTTCTTCCCTTCAAGACCTGACAGCCCACAGGAAAACGAGATGGACATAAATAATATGATGCGTTAGAAACCATGTCAGGTGTATACATATGGTGTCACAAGTGAACACGGAATATTTAGAAATCAGAGTCAGTGGTCATGCATTTGAGCATTTTGCCATGAACTTGCTTTCGCAGTATTTGATACATCTGTACAATGTGTTCTGTCAATGTTAGTTATTCCTGTTTTCTAAGTAGTCCTTTACAAATTAAAAAAAATTAAAAACACTATAGGAAGGAACAACTAGAGAAATTTGATGAAAAGTCGTACTATCAGTTTTCTATCATGACTAATTTTTCTCTGTTATAACATCTCACTTTGTGATCCTAGCTTTCTTTGTATCCCATTAGTCAAAGATTATCCCAAGGTTGCTAAGTTTGTTCAGTTAACAACAATATGACCCAGCCTCAGTGCATCATACCATTGTGAGGTCAAGTTTAAAAATTGCTCTAAGCCAAGACAGTCGTCCCTCAGTTGATACATACATCTCATTATTCCTCTCTGTACTCCCCCCGTGTTGTAGCTGTTTTCCTGAAATATTACATACATATGGTGCCACGACTTTGAGGTTTTGCTTCAAGCAGGTGAATATAACTTTAACATCATAATTAATATGCACTTGTTACTAACAGTAAAAAGTATCTGACTGTCCATCAAGTCAACAACTACCAGCTACTCTTCTGTTAGCAAAACAGACATTCTTGGTCTGTAAACATAAAATACTCGGACGACTATCCATCGCCCTATTAACGTGGCCTAGCATTTAGAAGCAATAGAAGATTTTGGTGCTGACACAGTCTCACCAACCCTCCTCCTCGCCCAGCCCCCAATCTCCCAGCAAGTGCCCCGGGGCCCCTGCAGCCACCTAAGACCCTCAAGAGCCTGGATCAGAACAGAAGCACCAGGCAGCAACACCTAAACGACAGAAGAGAAGCGTCGCTGACTGGAGAAATCGCGGCAACCCTCTAGGGGGTGGCCGCCAGTAGCTCTTACTAACCTGACGAGATGTCTATCTGGCTCATCTTAGTCTGTGTGACGTTGATGTGAACGGCGACTTTGCTTTCGGTCAGGTCGATCTCCACGGTGCCCAAATTATCCGCAAACTGACTGAAAAGCAGGAGGCCATTTGGGTTCCACGTCCTGAACTGGAAACTGACCGAAAACAGGTCCTGGTGCAGGCGGCCTGGCACCTCCAGGTAACTGGTCGCGTTGAAGAAGACGGGCACCGTGTAGGGCTCCACACACGAGAAACTCAGATTTCCCTGTAAAACAGAAGGACGTAATTTGACACAAACGCAGGATTAAAATGAGCAAGACACGTCCCTCCCTGTCCGACGGCAGGCTAAGCGACAGCTCTGCAGAGGATAAAGTCGAGCCGGTGCCAAGCTGCAGCTTGGCGGGGACTGGGCACTGGGCCCCGGGCCATCGCTACCTGCAGTGTGTTCTCACCAGCAGCCGCAGGCAACACCAGGACCCAAGAACCCAACAAGAACCGCCTCCATGGACCCGACAGACTGACAACCGGAGGGGGTGGGGGGGGACGCACCCCAAGCTGTGGGCAGGAGTGCAGACCACGCAGGCCTATGTGAAGCGCTGCTCTGCTCTCCCAGGACCAATGGTGTCTCCTCCCGGGTGGCCAGGCCACGGCCATCTCCTGGCCGGGCTGTGTCAACTGTTTCTTCCCACACTGCCAGATGGGCGGGAACTATGGCCAACTGACACTTTATCAACTGACATTATGGGGCAAGTCTTCTTGGTTCTTATCCTTATATCTAACATACATGAATTAATATTAACTATGCAGCATCAGCATAACTGATTATTTCAGATTATTTTGTTATATTATTTTGTTATATTAAATGTACATATATTATACGGAATTAATGCTTCTGAAAATAGTGGTATGAATGCACAAACTGAAAACAAACTTGGGATAATTAAAGCCTACTCCTTTCCCCTCATACTCCCTCTATTTTGTACAAAGAAATTTGATTTGCCATTCAGATTCACTAAATGGTCTATTGAGTGTGTAAACTTGATTTGCCATTCAGATACACTACATGTTATATCGAGTGTGTAACTACCTTCCCATTAAAGGTCTAAAAATCTATGTTTGCTTCCAACTTCTTTTATCCCACCCTAATATTCTGAGGAATATAATTTGATGACATCTTCATCTGGTCCTTCAATTATTTATTTATTTTACAACAACACAAGAACATGGTATCTATGTTTAGATGGATGGTTCTTCCATTTCAGCACATTAACCATTACATCTAAGGCAGGCTGTCCCTCTAAATTAATATTCAAATTTAATTTGCACTTTAGCTTCACAGATGATTATTTTTAAATGCTTATGTTTACTGATGAAAAGAACTGCCTTTGCCTAATAATTGAGATGTTATAACCGACCACATACCTGTGTTGTAGAGACTGTCTCCCTGCAAAATTAAAGGTGCTTTCTGAGTAAAGGTGCTGACTCTGGAGTCAAAGTGTAATGAGGTGTTGAAGAGGTCATCACAAAGGCATGACCGCCAGTTGACCCATGAGCAGGACTGGGATAATGAGAGGCTCCCCACGTCCTCCCCCATTCTGGGAATGCTTGTGCCACTTGCTTTCTCCACCCCCAGAGGCTGCTCCGCAGATAGAGCCTTGAGACAGAGATGTGGTGTTGAGGCCACCTGAACTGGATACTTGAGTGAACCCAGTTAGGTCCTCTTGCAACCATAACTGAATCCAGTTAAGACCTCTATGTAAACTTCTCTGACTTGGCAGGCAGTACAGAGATCTACTCATCTCCCAGCTGCCTAAGCCAAGCCCATAAGTTTCCTTGCTCATTAAACTGGCCACATACCAGTGGAAGGTGGTCTACCTCCTTCTTCTGTCTCTCCCTCCCTCAGCATCCAGGGGCTGTTTCAGATTACACGCTCTCCAGCAGGATGCGAACCAATATGAGGGAACGTGTTTGTGCATGAAGACGGGGTGAGGAGTGTTGAGTCAATTTCACCGAAATAACGGCATCTGACATCTTTGAAAGCAGATTTCCTTCATAAATAATCTCTTAAGAGTTGCTTACAAAATATCCCACTTGTCTCTATTCTGCCTAAAATTTTAATACATACATAGATTTTTGTTTAAAAGTTTATTCCATGTCTGTTCATTCTATTTTAACAAATATAATTATAGATAATTTATGCTTTACAACTATCTTTGTTATTTGAGTTAAAACAGCATTTATAACTACAATATATTTAGCAGTTAAAGTTGCCCTGGGAATGAGTTCTCATAGGAAAATCCTTTATAGTTTGGGTGCCTAATGAATGTGTCTCAGAACAAAATGGGAGGTTTGGGCAGAAATAACACATTACTGCTTCCTAACGGTGCAGATAATAGAAAGGGTTTTCTGATGATTTGGCTTCTGTACCTTTTTATCTTAGGCAATGATTCTGAGAAAACAACAGGACCCTGGTGCCATTTTGTCCAAAGGTTTAAAAAGCATATATATTAATACTGTTCCAGGTAAGAAATAACACAACATAGAAGGAGACTACAACATCAGAGGTCATATACTATGAATCCACTCACATTCAGTCATTTTGGAAAGTTATTTTTCTAGGTAAAAATCTCGGTTTCTTTTTTTCATCTACAAAACGTGTATGACAACACCTCTACTCATCCCGTAGTCCTGTTTTCAGATTACCATAAAGGTAACATTCCTAGCACAGCACTTGCGGCCTATTCATGGAGCTATTACTATTTTTCTCTATAGTCATATGCTTGATGAGATCATTTCAAAGTTCAACTTTTTACTCACAATATGTTATTATTTTTAAGAAAAACTAATTATTAAAGAAAAATTCTCCATTAATTATTTTATACCTGAATCATTTTTCTTTTAATAACCAACCTGGACTCCTGTTTTTCATTACAGAGTTTGTATTTGTCCAATCATTTTGTAAAAAAAAAAAACCCTAGGCTCAAATGCAGGGCAAAAAAGACCATCAGAGCTCTTTTGGAACGTGATGGAAGCATTCGTAATATCTGCTGTTAGTGGTTTCTCAAAGTCAGGTTTCTCAAAGGTTTCTCTGGGTCTCTCAAGCCCAGACTCTCCCAAACAGTACGCGTAGGCTGAAGTTAAGTCCTGCTCTTGCAGGGCCATAGGGGACATGTACCGAATTTTTCAGCTGGTATCTTGCAGTGATGCTAACTAAGCAGTGTCATGGGGAGGCAGGTATGCTAGAGTGCCCTTCTATTTTTGCTCTTCTCCTTGAAATAGTTAAATCTTGAAACAACTCACGACACAGGTGGAAGAAGATCCCGATAGGCTCTGTGTCACAGCCTTCACTGCCCAGTGGCAATCAATCCTTATTTCCTTGCCTGCTATTTAGTATGTTCAGGATTTCACAACGTGTATATTTATTTACTGATCTGGATGAACTGTCTTTGGAAACATGGACGTGAATACAATCATATTCCTGGATGTAACACTTTTTAAGATAGTGAATTAAATCATAAACAAGAAACGGAAAGCCACATATGATAAGACATCTGAAGACAGGAAGCCGCCAACCTCAGGGCTGCTAACTTGCAGGGACAAAGCATAGCTGAGGTTTGCCTGTCACTCTGATGTGGGGAATCCAGAAACGTGGCGTCAAAATCCAGTGCCCCGTCTGAGAGAAACTTACATGTATTTCAGGCTGATCTAACGCAAAAACCATGAACTGGTCTCAGAGTACATCCACTATCTACACATTTTTAGGTAACTCTCAAGTTAGTTTTACACTGTTGAGCCAAACATCAGTATGATGAAAAACGCAGTGACACTGTTTAATACTCCAAAGAAAACAAAACTTTGATGTTTCTATGTATCAGTATTTTGGAGTGAGCAATCTTACCACATTTGAGGGCTCTAGTTTCTTCCTTCTCGCAAGATCAGTTATGTTGATACCATTGTAATTGATGCTTTCCATGCAGCCTTTGAAGTTCTTTCTACTGCTGGAACTTGGCTTCCCAGAGAATGGTATGCCTCCGAAGGTTATCTTTGAGAAAAGAAAAAAATATAAGAATTCACACTGTATTTGACTTAAAAAAAAAAAAACATTCACAATAAATTAGACAAAACTACTAATACAGCCAAGGTCAATTATTCTACCTCTCCCAGAATATACAGACATTTTTTCTTCCTCCAAAATCTGTTGCATATTAATTTATGTTGTTACAGAAGTGCATAACAGTATCATTAACTCTGGCAATCAGATTATAACTTTACCATTTTATTTTTTTAATGTTTTTATTTATTATTGAGAGACAGAGACAGAGTATGAGCATGGGAGGGACAGAGAAAGAGGGAGACACAGAATCTGAAGCAGGCTCCAGGCTCTGAGCTATCAGCACAGAGCCCAACACAGGGCTCAAACCCATGAACCATGAGATCATGACCTGAGCCGAAGTCGGACGCTTAATCAACTGAGTCACACAGGCGCCCCAGATTACAACTTTAACAAGAAAATAGCAATAATCTCTTCCATGTAGCCACTCAAAAGGCATTTTATAAATTTTCCTGAACTCTTTTAAAAGATTTTATCCAGGACACTCTTTTATTAAGTAATATTAAAAACACATTTTTATGTTTATCATTCAAAGATATACTAATTAATGCTTCTCTTCATCATGAGATAGCCAGTACAAGTATAATAATATATCGACAAAACTGCAGCCAAAATGAAGAAATATTGTATTTACCCTGTGTACTGTGTAGACTTATTTTAATCTAAAAAAACCATTAAAGTCACATATTCACTAGACTTATTTTCGATACAGAAAGCAGTTCAAAAAGTCTGGTTACTACATTGATTAAGAACATAGTAGGATGTGGGGGCTATTATGTGAGCACTCGAGGCTTAGAGATATCTCTATCTTCTGAATAGATAACTGTAATATAATATCTCTATCTTGTGAATCTTCTGTAATATCTTCTGAATCCTCGGGAATAAGGTGGATGCTCCTTACTGTGATTCTCTGGCTATTATCTATCACCTATAAAAAGAGAGTATGTATTTTTCCATGTATCTTTGGCCAAATTATACCAGTATAGTATAAACTTACTATAATGTAAAATTATACTTAATATATGCATTGCCATAATGATATTTACTGATAATAGTGAATTAGTAGTAAATAAATGTAAATGCTAACAGAGCTGCAGTACTAAGATATATAACCTAGATTTTATTTCTCTTTTAATTATTAGTCATTGTTACCATTATCAACTTTTCCTATAAGCAATACTTAAACATTTTTGAATGTCAAGACTGTATTGGAAACATAAGACACACATCTTTGTGTTCTAGGAGGCCATTAGCAAATTATGTTCTTTTATTTAGTGTCATAGCATTTTAGAGGCTTAGTTTGAGGTGGGGGGGAAGCACAAGTAAATGATAGTTTATGAGACAATATGAAAAAACAAAAGACCTCACTGAAAATAAAATTTGGTAATAATGGTTAGTTGCATATGTATCATTGACCACAGAGTTTATATACGAAAGAATAGGGAGAGACTGAGAGTCAATATACAGAAAAGGATTAGGAAATGACAAAAGGAAAATTATACTGTAAACTAAAATAATAGAATTATTAGGAAAATATTTTCAAGTGGCACTAAACTGAACTTATTAGGTACTAAATAAGTATATCTAATACCAAAAGTAAGAATTACTGATAATTACGTGGAGTGTCATACTTTCCATCTACAATTTATTTTACCAATTCTTTCCTAGTTGATAGAATAAAATCTTGTATGCTTAACGACATGCAGCATCACATTTTTAAGTACTTTTTTAAAACGTTAATTTATTTTGAGAGAGTGAGCAAGTACAATTGGGGGAGGGGCAGAGAGAGAAGGAGAGTCCCAACCAGGCTATGCTCTGACAGTGGGGCTTGATCTCACGGATCATAAAGTGAGCTGAATTCAAGAGTCAGACGTTTAACCACCTGAGCCACCCAGGTGCCCCACGCAGCACCACATTTTGAACATTATTACTAAATACTAGGTTAAACATACTGTCTCATTCTTTCTCTAGGTGTACAGTTTATTTATTTTGGAACTTTTGTTTTCCTTCGGGATGATGATTAAGCACTCCTCTGGTTTCCCTGGTTTCAGCAACCCTCAGCACGTGTCCTACCCGATCATCAGAGGTGCCCTGGGGAAGCAACAGAGGCTCAATTTACCAGATTTCCTTACAACTAGGAGATGTGGGTTCAAATCCCAATTCCTTTTTTTTTTTTTTAATGTTTTATTTATTTCTAGGAGAGAAACAGCATGAGTAGGGGAGGGTCAGAGAGAGAGGGAGTCACAGACTCTGAAACAGACTCCAGGCTCTGAGCTGGCAGTCAGCACAGAGCCCGACGCGGGGCTCGAACCCACAAACCGTGAGATCATGACCTAAGTGAAAGTCGGACGCTCAACCGACTAAGCCACCCAGGCGCCCCTCAAATCCCAATTCCTAATACAACTAATGATATATTAGGTTGTCACTTCTTCTGAGTATGCATTATCATCAGTAAAAAGAAGTGCTTGAACCACAAAATATTTTGATATTGTAATTACTCAGATGGCAAAAAAACACAATCATTGCCGTCATTCAATAATCATATATTCATATAACTAATGACTGGCTTATTAATAATAGTGCCATTCACAAACAACCCTGACTCTAAGGAAATAATGACATTCACCATCTTGTTTAATTACCAAGAGTTTACACAGTGCAGCAGAGACTGCTAGATGTCTCTACGTGTCCTTTCTCACACCTTCTTTAGGAAAATATACTCTACAGCGGTGCGCACTGGCTCTCCTGATACGTGGCATTTACCAAGCTGTGAAGCAAGTTTTGGTCTTGTGAGAATAAAGGAGGAGGATGTTGTGTGACTCTAAGAATTATAACTAAAAGGGGAGGAGAGCATAACCTTCTCCACTCTTCCTTCCCACTGGAATGCAAGATGGACTGTGAGGCGCCATCTTGGAATGGCTTGCGATGGTGCCGGAGCAGCGGTGGCATAGAAGGGGACTGGGGTCTCGACGGGCACAATGCTGCAGTTTGAGCCCAGGGCTGCCTGCTACCTCACCTTTCATATGCAAGCATCTGTTACATACCCGATACATAGGAGATTTCTGTTCCTCCCTACGTTTCTTCCAGTGCTATGGCGAATGTGTTTTACATTCATTTTCCAAAAGGGGACTATAACTTGCCCCCTGTCACACACCAGTAAGGAGCAAAAAGGGATGCAAACCCAGGCCTTTGGTCCAGTTTGAGCCATGAAGTTGATTCTCTACAAAATCCTAGCTGGTTTCTCTCTAAAACCCTAGCCACCCAGCTGTCAAAGGGGAAGCACTGCTCTGCCTCCCAAGCAGAGCTCTGCTGCAAAGGCAGTGGCACAATAGGCACAGTGGGCATCCCCTGGGATTCAGCCCGAGAAAAGAGAGAAGCCAGGCCACACATCAGGGTGCGGTCCTGCCCTGTGGCTGATATGAAGGATGTGTATCTGTTTGCCTGTGTAGCCTTCCCAGGGCACCACAGGGCCAGCAGCTTGCCTGCAAGTGGTGACCGGCTCCCTCTGTGGTGTAATGGCTCCAGGAATGGAATATGGTGAACTCTTAAGCCATCCTCCACAACAACGCCCGCCATGAGCGACCTCAAAGGAGCAAGTGTGTTGTCTACTGTTTCTTTCATGACGTACATCTCTGGGAACGGTTATGGGTGTTAATTTACCCCTGTGGTGCGCTGAATCCTGCTCATGCTGGCTCATGAAAATGGATTGTTAAACAGAGCCATCGTTAAAAATTAAATTATATAGATTTAAATTACATTACATTAAACAGAAAATAACCACTCAGGCCTCATCTATTTTTTATTATGTATGTTCTTGAGATGATTCGTATTTAGTCTATAGATGGGATTATTCTATCATGGTGTGGTATAATAAATACATTTGGGTCTTTGTTCCCAGCTCCTGGCACAGAGCTCCTAAAACGCTTGGAATTTCCTGACTGATAGCAATGTCTTCAATTATTCATGTCAAGTCCCCCTTGGGGTCTGAGTCTAGTTACTGTATGGATGAGTCAAAGAAATATACCCCAAAACACTGAGAGACTGACTCAATTCAACTGACTCCTGATTCTTTGAAAATAAATTTACATTTCTTCCTAGTGTCTCTCTCTAATAATGTCTCAAGCACTGTCATCTACAGCTGAAGTTCTCAAACATTGTGTGCACACTGATGGGCTTCAAACTGTCCGTGAAACTGCTGACCCGCTAAGAAGAGTCTTGTGTGTGCATGAATATTCATGGATTTGATCACAAACTCACAGAGTCTATGACCCCAAATTTTTATTTCTGTTTTTTTGGAAATTGGAATTGTGTTTGCCCACTGCTAATATTCCAGGATCTTTCATCTATTGTATGGTGCTTCAAAGTTTATTAATGGAAGATGAATAATTCATCTCCAAGTTCTCTCATACAGTGAGAGATAAGCCACCTAAGCCAAGAAATATACTAATTTAGAAAAAAAGAGAAACTTCTGGGATTTTAATATTCTTTCCCTTGCAATAATCATTTTGCTTTAAGGAAATTTTTGGAGGGTGATTACAATTATTTTCTGATAACCTTAAATTTATTTTAATGTTAATAAAGTCTCAATATCAAGGTTTATGTAGCATAATCTATTTTAAATTCATATATGGGAATATATGTAATATATTCATCTTGGAGACAATTTAGAAACTATTTAAATATTTAAAGAAAATGTAGGGGTACCTGGGTTGCTCAGTCAGTTGAGCATCTGACTTCCACTCAGGTCATGATCTCACAGTTCATGGGTTCGAGCCCCGTGTTTCCTCTGTGCTGACACTCAGAGCCAGGAGCCTGCTTCTGATTCTGCTTCTCCCTCTCTCTCTGCCCCTCCCCTGCTTGCGTTCTATCTCCCTCTCTCTCAAAAATAAACATTAAGGGAAAACAAGAAAAATAAAGAACACAGTTGTAAATCCTAACTTTTTCAATTATTTTATTATGGCCTATACTACATTTTTAAAAATTTGTATGTCGCTATTGATTAATGCGTGTGCGCGCACGCGTATGTGTGTGTGTGTGTATACACAATATGGGAGCAAGGCATACTGAGCACAGAAAACTTGAAGGGTCACAGCTACCATATACTATGTATTTTAATTTTTTAAGTTTTTAAATTTATTTTGAGAGATGGAGAGCACATACATGCATGGGCTGAGCAGGAGAGGGCTAGAGAGAGAGAGAGAGAGAGCAGGAGAGAGAGAATTCCAAACAGGCTGCTGCTCAGCGCAGAGACAGATGCGGGGCTCCATCTCATGAACTGTGAGACTGTCATCTGACCCAAAGTCAAGAGTCAGATGCTTAACTGTCTCGGCCACCCAGACGCCCCTACACTTAACATTTTTAAAGAAGACACAGGGATATTTGACATGTTCTGGGCATTACATACAACGCTAGCTGGAGCTACTTCCCCATTCCAACATCCTGCTACTACGTTGCTTCTGATGACTTCCTGTCTTTGTGAACATGGGTTTTTGGCTGTATCTCTGATAAAAGCAGTGTCACACGAAGGGAGAAGTGGGACAGAAGATGAGACTGGCAGTCAAATCTGATTACAAAATCTGAGGAGCTGGAGAGCCCAGAAACACTTGGCCCATCAGCGAGTAACCACTGTTCATTTAAAAATTACATAAAAATGTACATTTTTTTCTTTTATTTTAATCTGCGTTTTTTCAAAGGACTATAAACATTCATTAAGTTATTTGGCTCTAACTATTACAGAATGGTCTAGGCTTGCTGTGGAGAAATTAATAACACACTGAGGGTTTCGTGACCAAAGAAAGTTTGGAAACCTCTTGCAGAATAATGTTTCATCCTATTTATTTTACTGCGTTTCTCTTTTTTTTTTTTTTTCATTTAGAGTTATCTCTTTTCTTTTGGAATATGTAACACTGCTGTGAATATTGCATAGAACTCTTAACTCTATATATGATTAAAGTTTTTCATAGACATTTTAAGGTTGAATTGCTCTCTAAATAGTTTACTAAAAAACCTGAAATGCCCACCTGTATAATATGGGAATATATAGTTTTTATGAGACTGATACGATCAGATTTTTTAAATCTCTGGTTATTTAGAGAGTTACATATGTCTTCTTATTTATGAACAACCTCTTAAAATATTCTATGTTTACTTTATTTCTTATGTGATAATTATATCTGAGAAAATAGAACCTGAAAAGAACTATCTACAGTCACCAATTCACACATGGCTTAATATAAATCAGAACTCGGAATTTTTCAGTCAGTATTTTCTAGTAAGTATTAGGTAGCCCTGTGTTTATAACATGCTGTCCATCCATCCTCAAGAAGAATAGGTGATTTATAACATAACTAACGATGGAAAGATTACAACTTATATTTGATTCTGGACTTACTAAGTTGCCCTGATGACAGGATAGATGGTCCATTCCCTTCAAGTTATTACTCTGGTATCAAGATTTTTAAAACATTTCAAATATGATCAAAAATTTAAAAAAACTAGAACAAAATGACGGTTTTAATAGATTAGACCCTGAAGCTGAAAGACGATGCTTCTTTGGGGACTGAAATGAGCGGTGCAGGCAGATGTGTGGCTGACAAAGGCACAGTAAGGCCGCGGGAGGCCAGGCAGCCACCCCGACCTCCCCCTCCGCCCCCCACACGTGCCCGAGCTCACCTCATAGTCCAGGTCCAGGTAGTCGAACTCCCCGTTGGTGCGGAAGTGCTGCGCGCCCCTGTCCAGGGTGAGGTTAATGCTCCGGCCCTGGCGTTCGATGACCACAGAGTGCCAATGGTGGTCGTCCAGCAGACTTCCGGTCGTCACAGATGTGTGGCCGTAGATGGGTCCAAGCTGGTTGCTTCCTGAGCCGTGGGAGGAAAAGAGACGAGACAGTGACACCACAGTGACTCTGTGCAGCCGCGGACCTTTCGTTTACAGCCACAGGCTAGCTTTTCCTTCAAGGCCTGTCCACGGACACTCCCATGGGGCCCCAGCATGTGAAGCTATCCTGAAACACAGTTTCATACTCAAACTACAGAGGAGTTATTAAAGATGGGAACGTGTCCTTTAAAAAGAAAAAGATATATATGAGGGTTTTTTTGTTTCTTGTGCCATGAATTCGGCTAAATCTGATAGGTTCCTTATGGAGTCTGTACCCCATGGCTCTGGAGCCAAGTGCCTCGGTTTCCAAGCTGGCTCTGCAGCGCTCGCTCCATCTTCCGGGGTGGCCGGCCATCCCCTGAACATATGATGCCTCATAGATAAGCCGGGGAAGCTAATAGTCCAGGCTTTACAGCATTGCTCCGGAGACTCAAGACATTAGTAGATGCAAAGGACTCCACTTACTTCTGGGCACAGAGTGAACATTAGCTAAATGTTACCTGTTATCACTCTTTTATTTGTTGCTGTTATTTTATTACTGGTCAAGAAAACACAGCATGACACTTTCCAGTTCTCATGGACTCCAAAAGCAGTGGTTTTTAGCACAGTGTAATATTTAATTGCATGGGAAATTAATTCAAGTTATATTTTAAAGTAAAAACTTGCAAAAATACATATGTGGCGTTAATCTAGTTTTGAAAGATTTCCATGGCAACAAGGCCATAAATGAGAGTGAAAGGTTTGCAAGGATCCAACATGTTTACTAAAGTCATATCTGGATAACGTTCACATGGTTTCTACTACCTTCTATTTTGTCTGATCAAGTATTGCTTTTCATGGTCAGGCAAAACTAAATGCTATAAAAATGTAACACAGTTTCAGAATAAATAGAATAACAGAAATAAGAGAAACACACAACTGATTAGGGCATCAAGTTATTTCCCTTTTTTTCATAGTTAGGATGCTAATGATGCCTCCACCTGACATTTTCTGTGGCTTTCCTAGATCAGATTTTCTTTCCTTCTGGTGATGAAATCAAATGTGCTGTGACTGTGACCATAGCTGTGTATGGACATGTGGTGGTGGGGGCAGAGAGGGACAAAGAAAAGTAGGATTAAGTCTGAATGAAAAGGCAAACTCAATTTTATTACTTTAAATGGCTAGGAGACTGAGTGGCAGCTAGATATGCCTGATAATTAGGTAATGGCATTAAAAAGGCAGAGTGAACCTATGAGTGAGTGCATTTCCTTGACTGTCATAAATTCCAGTCAGTCAATAAAACTCTGTAAGTAAACTGCTTTCCAGTGAAATGGTAATGATCATTCTGTGAGGTCACAGGATCAGGTACTTGTTTCAGACAGTAATGTCACACCTCTTTAAAGCACAGTGGCTTTACAAGGCTTCTCTATGTGTTTCACTTAAAAAATAAAGGAGAAATGTTTGAAAAAATAAAGATCCCCTTAGATATAATTCAATTGCTCTGAGTGTGTGTGTGTGTTTGCATGCATATTTTTTAACTACTTACATTTTATTTTCTGTTATCAACCCCCTCCATTTCTCCTTTTCAGCTTCTATTGAAACTTGTTTCAAAAATGATTTAGGGTGGGATACGTGGGGGCTCAGTAGGTTAAGCATCCAATTCTTGGTTTCGACTCAGTCATGATCTCAAGATTTGTGGGTTGGAGCCTGTATCAGGCTCCATGCTAATGGTGTAGCGACTGCTTGGGGCTGTCTCTCTCTCTCTCTCTGCCCTTTTTAGTATAATACTGATTTTCAAAGTAGTAAAATTTAATATGTGGAAACCAAGCCATATTCAGGAATGTCTGGACCACTCAGACTGATAAGCAAGTGAAAAAGGCAGGATCTGATTTTGTGTTCTAATCTTTAGTTTTGTAGCTTCCTCCTGGGATGCATTTAACATGTGAACTCTAGCTATTAAAATACTTTAGATGTAAAATTTTAAAGAATTCTGTTACTATTTACAATAGAAAGCTTTATGGGATTTGTATGCTGCCCTTCAAAAAATTCTTGCATAAATCCTGAAATTTTTAGCTGGATAAGAAACTTAAAAATGCTTAAAAACAACAACAACAACAACAAAAACCACAACAAGAGTAACTCATTCTAGCTCAACCTCTTCTCCAGCAAATATTTATTTCATTTCTCTGATTCCTGACTCTCTGATTTCTAGGTGATTATGTTTGAGAAATTCATTTCCACATTTCTCATCTTTTCTTAAACCTATGTCAATAAAACTACTGTCCTTTTTATTCCATGAAGAGAAAATCAACAGTAACCTCTACAGGGCCTCGGCCAATATTCACCTGCCTGTCTTCCTCTTAGTGACATATTCGGTGAATTCAAAACAGCCACCACATCGTTTCTTTACCTGCTCTCATACCACATGTTCTAATTTCCTCCTGCTACAGTCACTCCCCTCAGTCTCCATGTAACACCTTCTCTGGATCTCATACATGCAACTCCCTAATAGAAATTGCAACCCTGATGTCTGATAGGCAACTAAAATGCACCAGGTCTATTAAGACCTCTTCTATTAGAGAAAACAATTCTTTCTTAGAAGAAACTCTACAGAGGAAACAGAGTTGTCTCTACTTCTGAAAATGGCACTTAGGTCCATTAGGGGTCTAGGAATTCTCCTTCACTTATTCTCTTTCTCATTACAAAGCAACCTGACTTACCACTAAAATCATGTCCCAACTAGACCCACTGCATTTCCGCTGACACCACCTCTGTAAGCCAGGGCCAGCTCTCACTTACATTATGCAGAAGTCTGGCTTTGACTCTCATCCAAATGCAAGCGTTTTCTTCTACAGAAGTCCCAGTAAAACTTTTAAAAATAAGATCATGAGGCCATATGGTTAAAGCCTACCAATAGCTTCTGTTCCTTAAATAATAATACCTAAAACCTTTACCATGCCGTACAGGATCTTAACAGGGTTTGGACCATCCCCAACTTCCAGATTCTGTCTTCTCTCCCATTGACTCATTGCATCTACCCACATTACCTCCCTCCTGTTCCATGAACATGCCAGATTTTTGTCAGTAGTGACTGCTACCTTGGACTTCTTTTTTCCTCAACCTTCTCATGGCTAGTTTTAGTTATAACTGAGATCTCAGCTTGGGATTTTCTCAGGGAGAATGTTCCTCCATATTCTAATGTTGACCCTTCTTGCCTCTGTAGTAAGTATCCTTTATCATATTAGCCTATTTAATGGAGTTCTACTTATCATTATTTGAAGTCATTGCTTTTAAGTCAGTTGTTTTAAAATAACAACAGACAATAGATTGTCTGACTCCTCCACTAGGTCATAAATTTCATGAACTCATGGACCTTCTCTATTTGCTCTCCACTGTATCTCAGATATTAGTATAGTACCTTACTTAGGACTAGAAGGTAATCATTATTTTTTAATGAATAGGTATATATGGATTAAAAAGGATTAACCCACTATGGATGGAAAATGAATTGAAAAAAAAATGAACTGAAAATATAACGGGAACTGCTTTTTTATAATTTACATTTTAAGGATTAAGCAACATTAACATTTTACTAATGGGAACACTAATAAATGGAAAGAATGGGGCTTAAAGTCAGAACATACCTAGGTTTAAGCTGAAGACCAGCTTGGCTTTTTTTAGTTCCAGGGTAATGTAATCTCCTTGCTGTCCTTCTCCATGCAAGATCACCCCTTCACTTTCAGAGGTTTTAAACTTCAAGGCAATGACATCTTTCAGTGTTTTCATCTTCTTGTTTCTGAATCTGTATGGTAACACAACGTGGCCATCAAAGTTGATAACATCAGCCCCTAAAAGAGGAAGCAAATAACATTTTATTTCATTTCTTGTATGCTGCTACCCAGTGCAAAATATACCCACTTCCAATGTCTGCAAAGAATAAATGAGAAAGAAGTGTTTTTTCTGAAAAATCTGGAGCTCTGGGTTCTTGTTCTATTTCTTCTTTTGTCTTACTGGGTATTCTGAAATAAATTTTATGTAGGGTACTCATAAAAAATGATCAAAGGGACCTTTATTAGTACAAAACTTTACTTCAATTGTAATACTAACAACATACATTCCATTAATTATTTATATGCTTCAAAATTAACTTGGGAGTCTGGAGTTTACATGAAAAAAGTAAAGTTTTTTAATCTTTGACATATTATGAGATTTTGATATTATCTTTCTTAAACGGGGCTACTCATGGTTTTTAAATATACATTTCACTCACAAATTTATTTTTTGATATAAGAATGAAGGATCCTAGAATGCAGAGTTTGATGGTATACTCATTTTTTTATGGTTTTTATATTCAACTCCATTTTCATTAAACTTTGTTAGTACCCAGAGTAGACAGCTAATTGAACTTTTGAAGCTTCTTATTATTTGCTCTTAGACCTCACATCTGCCTGAAATTTGTTAGCCCCATGTCTTTGGAAAAGAGAGACAAGCTCCCCATGTTTTTTACTACACTGAGCAAAGACATCCTTACCCATATGTATGTTAGAAAAACAAATATCTAGCCCCACCTATGACTACAGTAACCCTTATTTGATGTTAGAGAATTTTACCGAAGACACAAAATTATATAAACTTTTTGGAAGTTGAACAATTTTGCCACCATCTTTAGAAACAGGTGATGGAGGGGCATGGATTAGTTTCATAATTGCTACTTACACCAGAAAGAAAAATGAAGTGAATTTTATTTATTATGCACTACTGGTAAGTTCCAAATCCATGGGATAGCTCAAAGATGACCTATTATCATCTAGATCATATTTTGAGTATAAACAGAAACTTGGTTATCATAATTAGACCTTTGTCATTAAAAATACTTTTAAAAAATTCATTTCTTTTAGGTTTTACTTTTAAATAATAGAAGATCTAGTCATGGGGCACCTGGGTGGCTCAGTCTGTTAAGTGTCTGACTTCGGCTCAGGTCATGATCTCACAGTGTGTGGGTTCAAGCCCCACTTCGGGCTCTGTGCTGACAGCTCAGAGCTTGGAGCCTGCTTTGGATTCTAGGTCTCCCTCTTTCACTGCCCCTCCCGAACTGATGCTATGTCTCTCTCTCTAAATGAATAAACATTAAAAACAAATTAAGAAAGAAAGAAAGAAAGAAAGAAAGAAAGAAAGAAAGAAAGAAAGAAAGAAAACTTTGTCAAACTGGATAGCTCTAATTACTTTAGAATTATAAGCCTGAATGAAGCCTGCCTCTCAGTTTGGGGAAAGGTCTTGCTAAAGAATTCCAGAGTGACACTGGAGAAAAGTAATAAGTTGAAAGCCTGCTGGAGAAATATCTTCTCATTTCATGTCCTCATTCTCTGGCACTTGTTTACTTCAGTTGCCACAGGGAATACTCTGGCTCCCGACTCCCAGGTAAGAAGAGCATGCCACCCCATGGTAACTTCGGCAGTGGTGCAGAATGCAGCCACTGCAGCTACATTTGTGCATTACTTGCCATTGCCAGTTTTGCCCCTATTTAATTAGAAAGCTGCTGCATTCTAAAAAGTTCAGGAAGAAAAATATAACTTTGCACTTGAAATTTCCATTCTTACAGTCAATTCTTTACTGTCCATAAAAAGACCTTCTTAATCAACAAAATTCTGTTCTCGAAGACTGTAAATCACAGAGGTTTATTTTACTATGGGGGGGGATCCAACCACCAAATTTATGCTTCTGCTAACACTGCAAAGCCAATTAGACTTTAGCTTAATCATCTATACTGTCACAGCTGAATTCCAATTGCAATATCTTTATCATCTGTGATGAGAGGTGATAGAGAGAGAAAAAAAGCAGAATCTGATTATGAAATCCCAGGTTGAATTTATAATCCAGCAGTCAGTAGAAATTACTTTTTGTCTTAAAAGTGCATAAACGAAAAGTCAGAAGGAGGGAGTAAATTCTGAACTCCAGAAAGTAATTTTGCAGTCAATTTCATGTCAGTGACAGTTGAATAATAGACACATCATTGTTTTATACACCTTCAATATATATTAATTGACATAAAATATTCCCCATTCATCTCTCAGGAAGTAAATGTTCCCTGAGCTTAGATAGAAGAAAGATTTCACCCCTCCCATATCTTTTCCTAAATCAAAATCTTCAACAGTTCCAGGTATAGAAGCATAAATGTTGGTGAAAAAGTGAGAGAAAGGATGGGCATGGTTCTCTCTTCACAGCCCTATAATATTAAGAAAAATATAAAGAATACTATGTGGACCAAGCCTCATCTGACAAATGATAAGTGGTACGTCGTCCTTCAAGAAACTGGTAAAATGCTCTGCAAGCCAGTTCTCTTACATTATGAAATCAAAGCTGTTCTTCTATGACTAAGTTAAAGCTTGCATATCACTATACAGACGTGAGCTGAGAGCAGTCTGAAACTATAAAATTCTTATAAATAATCTGTGATATAAAATTCCCACAGAAAAACATACTATACACTTTAAAGAGAGTCTGGGATATTGTAAAAACTATCAGACTTTAATTCTATTTCCTACCAAAATATATTTAAATTTCATTTGACATCTAATACTATGTTGTGCTTATTTTAGGGCAAGCCACCTCCCCCCTCCCCATTATCCTGATTGCTTATCACTCCCTAGAATTAAGTTTTCTATGCAGTGATTAAATATGTATGGCTGAACTGTTTAAGCCATCTGAGCAACAATGGCTAGTCAAGGACTGAATGCAAAATCACAGTGCCTCCACAATTTTGTTTCTAACAATAACTCAGAGAGCTGGTAACGTGCCCAATTCATCAAAATGTCATGGTACGGAAGGCTTTATTCTTTTCTTTTTCTTTTAATTTCATTGTTAGTCTTTACTTCCTAAATTTGGATATGTTGGAGGAGAATATATCATCTAAAGATTTTAATATTTAAATATATCTTTGCTATATTTTTAATACAAATATAGTGTATGTTTCCTATTGAAAAGAAATTAATACAAAAATAGAGATGTAGAAAGTAAATTGCAAACATAGGAGATCACCAATACGATCAATATGGGTGAAAGGTTGACGCATTTCCTTCTACATTTTACACATTTACTTATCTACCCACCTACCTACCTATTTAAAGTACAGAATTATCCAAACAGCATTATATATAGATATATGCATAGATGTGCGTGTGTGTGTGTGTGTGTGTGTGTGTGTGTATGGAGGGGTGGAGAGACAGAGACAAGAATGTCATTTCCTTTGGTTACAGTTCAAAATGTTGGCTGATAAGCAGCTTGAGTTCTGGATAAAAGTATTTACAAATATTAGTTGAGAAACTGTATGTTTTAGCTAACTCAAGTTTTATGACCTTCAGGTACCAAGGCATTTATATAAGGTAAAAATATACATAACTTGAAATGGTAACTTAGACAAAGGAATACTACATAGCAATGAGAAAGAATGAAATCTTGCAATTGTAGCAACGTGGATGGAACTCGAGGGTGTTCTACTAAGTGAAATAAGTCAGGCAGAGAAGGACAGACACTATATGTTTTCACTCATATGTGGAACAGGAGAAACTTAACGGAGGACCATGGGGGAGGGGGAGGGGAAAATTAGTTGGGGAAAGGGAGGGAGGAAAACCATGAGACTCTTGAATACTACTACGAACAAACTGAGGGCTCATGGCGGAGGGAGAGAAGAGAAGTGGGGTGATGGGCATGGAGGAGGGCACTTGTTGGGAAGAGCACTGGGTGTTGTACGGAAACCAACTTGACAATAAACTATAAAGGAAAAAAAAGAAATGGTAATTTAACCTGTTTATTTGAAAAAAAAACTGTACTTAGAACTATTTCTGATGTTTTCTTATAAATATTTCACTTTCTTGTAGAAGAACTGAGAACACAAAAGGTTTAAAGAACAAAATTAAAAGGACATAATTCTATTTTACTGAAATAGCTACTCATAATCTCCATTTCTGATCATTTGAATTTGCATAGACAGAATGTGTGTGTGTGTGTGTGTGTGTGTGTGTGTAGAGAGAGAGAGAGACATATGGATTACAGTACTGCTTGGTTTTTGTTACCACACATTATTTTTTATCTCATTTTTTTCCAAAACAGGATTTTTGTTAGTTAAAAATATACCATCACTGGGATGTCCCAACTTCTTCCATGATAATTTGTTTTTGCTGTTTCTTTATAATAAAACTTTCATTTTGGAATGATTTTAGATAAACAGAAAAAGTTGCAAGGATAGAACAGGGTCCCTATACCCCCTCACACAGCTTCTTCTACTGTTAACACTGTATATAACCTGCACGTGTGTCAAATCTAAGATATTAACTTTGGTAGAATATTATTCACTGAAATATAGACTATGTTCAGACTTCACCAGCTTTCACAAATGTCTTGTCTTTTCCAGGATCTCATAATGCATTCAGTCATTATGTTTCTTTCTGGTGACATTTTCTCAGTCCTCTCTAACTCTGACTCTTCAGAAGAGTGCCAGTCCCACATTTTTGTAGAATCTTCCTCAGCCCAGGTAGGTCTGAATTTTTTAGGACTGGACTGGTGTGACTGTTGTTTGGGGAGAGCACCACAGACTTGCGGTGCCATCACTTAACTATCAGGGGAAGCGCTATTTCAGCATAACTTCTCACTAGTGATGTTGGCTGAGGTGATATTTGCCGTGTTACTATTTTTCCTTTTGTTTTGTTTTCCCTTTACTCCTTGTGGAGCTGAGTCACCAGGGTCTGGTCCATACTTAGGGTAAGGGGAATTAAGTCCACCTCCTGGAGACAGAAGTATCTACATGTATTGCTTGGAATTCTTCTGTAAGAAAGATTTGTTCTATTCCTTTATT